GCTCTTCCAGATCCTTTCCGATCCTGAACTTTCTCTCCTCACACCCCTCGATCATCTGAATCTCCTCCACTTCTTCCCCAGGTTGGATATCCATTTTCTCCTTACCTTTCTCCACTTTTTGCTTATCCTCCTTCGACCTCGATCCTCCTGGTCGAATAATCTTCTCCCCCTTCGACTCGGCCTGCCTCTTCGCCAATTGCTTGTTATTGCTGACTGTCGTTTGGTTGCAACTTCTCGAAGTGAGCTGATCCCCGGCAATCTCCCCTACGTTTTCGCCCACCGGATATTTGATCGTCATGTGGTACGTGGATACGACCGCCTGGAATGCATTCAAGATCGTCCGCCCCATGATGATGTTATAGGACGACTCAGCCCCTACAACCACAAATCTCACCATGCGCACCTTCCTCAACTCTCCCGATCCCAATGTCACGGGCAAACTGACCTCTCCCATCGGCATAACTTCTCCCCCGTTAAAACCGTAGAGTGCCGTGGTCACCGGTTTCAGCTCCATATTCTGCTCCTTGTTAATCTGCACAAAACAGTCATAGAACATCACATCTACCGAACTCCCGGTGTCAATGAACACCCTCTTCACATCGAAGCCTGCGACCTCCTCGGTTATCACCAAAGCATCATTGTGTGGCAGGACCACTCCCTCGGCATCCTCCGCCTTAAAACTTATCACCGGCATGCGGGCCGTAATTCCCACCTCCTCTCTCTTCCTCTTCACCGCTCGAGCATGCTCCTTCCTGGCCCTATTCGAGTCACCATCAGTTGGCCCACCGAAAATCATGTAATTAGTTCCTCTCTTCATCGGGGCATCTCCTCCATGTCCTCCCTTATCACCATCTCTCCTTGGCTTCTTTCCTCGACTGTCTCGACCATCTCCCTCCTCATCTCTATCGCTACTTTCCTCCGAGTCTTCCCTACACCTTCTCCTTCCTTTTCCCTTCACCCTATCATGATACACTAATTCTTTCAAATATCCTGCTCGAATCAGCCTCTCGATCTCATCTTTCAAATGTCTGCAATTCTCCGTGGCGTGACCATAATATCGGTGAAAGCGACAGTAAATATCCGACCTAGGTCGAATTGGGCCTGTAAACCTCGTCTTCGGCCAAGTCACATCCTCACTCGACATCTCGTGCTCCATGGCCTCGAGAACCTCCGTCATGTCTTTCCTCAAGGGCGTGAAAGTGTGGTATCTCTGTCTCTCGAACAACATCGGCCTCCTCTGCCACTCATCCCTCTTCTCCCTTTTCGAATCTCGACTCTCTCTTCGGGGTGATTCCCTTTTCTGCCCACTCCGTTTGGGCGAATTCCTCCTCGGCGATCTCCCCCTCTGCAGACTTTTCTCCTTTTTTGGCTCTGGTCGAGCCACTCCCTCCAACTTGGCAAACTCCATCTCCATTTCCTCCAAGTTAATATACTTCCTGCACCGCTTCAGCACATCCTCATATGATCGAGCAGGGGTTTTTGCCAGGGAAGTTCGATAAGGCCCTGCTCGAAAACTCCTTATCAATCCACCCGCCTTCACCTCGTCCGAAGCCGAGTGCACCTCTAAACATGTTTGGTTATATCGAGCAACATACTTCCTTAATGATTCCTTCTCCCCCTGCCTCATCGCCATCAAAGTCAAATACGTTTTCTCCTGCACCACCGCGCTCGAATATTGATTGATAAGCTTGCCAGTAAAGTCCTCCAAGATCGCGATCGACCCAGGTAGAAGTTGGTGAAACCAATCGAGTGCTCCTCCATGCAAGGTCGATAAAAATGCCCTGCAACAAACAGAATCAGAGTACCCATGCAGCACAACCATATTTTCAAAGGTCCTCACATGCCTCGATGTGTCAGATGACCCGTCATACACCAAGTTGGTCTCCTTGAAATTGTTTGGCAACGGAGCAGCAAGAATCTCCCTTGAAAAGGGATGTCCTCGAGCTCTCCTCTCTGGCCTCCC